TCTTCATGTATGTATTTACATCTGCTTTTACATAACGCACGTAATTTATATTGTAACAGGACACAATAGGTGGCAACACTAGACCAAAACAACACAGTTAGGTAATAGATTGAAAAAAAAAAAAAAAAAAGAATTCAATTATTAATGAGTGATCAAATGATAAATAAAGACACTGCGAAAGTGGGAGAGAGCGAGAGAGTAACATTTTGTTAGCCCATATATGTATACAACGATTCAAGCAACCAAGTACTTCCAAACAAAAAACAACAGCCACAATACTGCTACAATTATACATACTCAAATATTTAGTAACATAATTATATAAAATCAACGTTTTATAATTTATATAATAATGTATTAATAACAAAAACGCTGATCCACAGAATCCCGAACCGGTAACAGATTCCAACTTAGAAAGCAATAAACTTTGAATACAACAATCAATCTTATGAAAAGCAAAACGAAAAAACAAAAACAAAAAAACATTAAATGAATCACGCAAAAAAAAAAAAAAAAAAAAAATACAAATTCAAATAAAACTTATGCAATCCAACTTGAGGACACTGAAGAAGCAAATCAGAAATCATGCACACTCAGACACTAAACACATATAAACAAACAAACACACACAAACATACAAAAGCCAACCAAGAAGCGAAGGAGCCGAAAGGAGTTTGAATGTTAAGACGCGGGCAGAGGAAGCGAGAGCAGCAACAGCAATTCCAAATATATGTACACTGATCAAGACAGAGCAAGACCGAAGATACAGAGAGTAAAGCAGCAAAGCAGCGGGAGCAAGTTAACAACCAGCAGTTAGACGGCACACCCACACAAACACAAAGAGACAAAAGGATTGGGCTCTAATAAAACGGAGTGGACACATAAAGAGGGAGAGAGAAAAACTAATTCATGCAACTGTATGCACACGAAGGCATACACACAAACACACCCACACCTACACCCACATACACATACACAGATACACATGTACATACAGACGCGCCTCTGCCCCGAATAAAATCATTCGCAAAAGCAATAGCAGCAATAACAGCGCACAAATTGTTTATATTGATTTTGCCTATAAATAAATAAATAAAAATACAAAAAGAAAGAAACATATAGTATAGTTACAGATTATATACAATATATACATATATTTATATATATAAACAAATTTAAAATGGTCGCATCTTTAGCTTAAGCCATCAGTCAGTGGGAGGTGAAAACGAAAAGGAAGTTGTTTAAATTCGGCTAGCTGACTTTTGAATACCCTTGCAGAATGGTTTTTTTTTAACGATATTTAACTTTTTTTTTGTGTCGATTGTTGATAAACTTTTTACGCAAATAATTTATTTAGCAATAGTAGTCACATGATTTATATATATGTGTATGGCACGACTTGAAAGATACCCTAGGTTCTGCAAGTGTGTTCAGTTGTGTGTGCGTGTGTTTTATTTTTATTTTAATATAT